CCTTCAAAGTACAGCGCTTTTGCAGGTTTCTGGGCCGATGCTGAGTTTTTTATGACTTTTCAAAATAGTCATGCAAAAATATTACTAAACTGAAAGCAAAGACAACACTTGTATGTTTCTAGAAAAAGAGTCATTTTTCCTATTATAGACGACTTGCGACGCGCATTTATTGTATTTTTGTTCGAAATTTCTCTGCCATAGTGTGATGAAATTGCATATATCCGATTAAATTTTCATGTGTTATCGAACGCTGTTTTAATAAACTAAAAAGAAATGTTTTGACAATATTATTTTTTCGATGCCATGTTTGCTATTTTTGTACATTTCTTTTTCTTTTGTATATGAAATGGTGTAAAATTACACAAAAATATTCTGACAGCAACGTTATATTGCATATTTACATTGACACAACGTGTTGTGAAATACTTTGTCATATCCCTGTTGTAGTTAATTGCTATAAATTGATAAGTAACACAAGAAGAAACATCGACTTATAGCAAATCATGACCGAAGACACAGGACACATTTCTGAGAGTGATTCACATGTTTCTTGGAATGCTCTCTCTGTATTGGATATTAAAGAAAGTACTCAATCACAATTTCTGGAAGTTCTCACGAATTTAGGCGAAATTTGTACGAGCCAATCAGCAGACGAACGAACAACATTTATTGCGCAAGTCTACCGCCGAATGCTTCATACGATCTCTCGAACGACAAATATTTCACTGGATCGAATCGTTGCAGTACTTAAACAGTTGATTACATACAGCCCAGTATTGACAATTTTAACTGTCGATGACTTGAAAAACATGAATACAGAGATGAAGAAATGATCCGTGTCCAAGTAAGCAAAAAATGAAGGGAGACTACCGACATGACTAGTCAGAAATATCCGCAGCTGCCGTCAAGTCTAGTCTGAAACGTCTTACATACCCGTCTTGTCTAGTCAGTTTAATGAGGGGTGTCTTACAAACACGTCTGTACTAGTCTGAAATGTCCTTGAGCCCAGTCATGTCTGTGCCAAAAAGTACGTCCCTCGTAAAGGACTAGATTATATACGGGTTATATGAACCGCCGGACGTCCACTTGTAAGTCGTAGAACTGATGAACATACTGCGGTGGCGTAATTAAGTTTACATCACTAATGTTCATCCTTACATATGACAACACATAATCGCGCACTGAACAGTACGTAATTATTCTGTGTATCTTTTCTCTCTAGATATCTTTTTCTTTCTCCGTATCCCCTTCTCTCTCAATAGCTTTTGTCTCTATGTATTTTCTTTTCTCTCCGTTCTCTTCTTTCTTGGTGGCGTATATAAGCGTGCGTTTTGTATTAGATGGATACATTTGGATGCAGGTTATAGTTGAATAAACATCGTGTAGTAAGCCACTAAGCTGTGCCTCTCCATTTGACATACCGATTTAGAATGAAGTAGCTCAACTAACATCAATGCCGCGTATAACGGTAGAGTTAAACTTCTTCTCTTTTTCGTTACAATACGGCAGTTGAGTCGAGTTCACTTCTAAACAAGTCAGGTTAGAAGAAAGTTGTGCTTTGTCATACGTACGATTGTATTTGGCTTTATCGAAAGACAACGTACATAACTCATTTTGGACAAAAATAAACTCATCGTGTGGAATTGTTGTTAATATTATAGGCACAGTGGCTAAAATATATAGCTGATACTGATCTACACTTTGTTGTCCATCATCCTATCAGGATATATACGCAATTCTATATATCTCGATAGTTATTTGAAGAATATTTACGCGACCTAAATATTTTCCCGTTATACCCAGTTCCTCTCGTTTAATGCTACTGGCTGGTTGATAATTTATATCACCTATAAGAACCCATGCAATAGTTTTATATAAAGTTTCAATTTGGTAGAGCAATCATCTTTATATGATAGGAAAAAAACGGAGTACACTCGGAAACCTAAGGAAAAACTTCATTGATCAACGGATTTAAAAGAGATAGGAGTCACACAAGCAAATAGCATCACTATAACGCTATTTTTAAAAATGACAATAATAATAAGAAACATTATAAGTAGTAGTAACAGCAGAAAAAGTAATAGCACAACCACTCTGACCAAAACAAGTACTAAAATGACAACTAGGATCATTATTAAAATTACACATACAACTAGCACCATTACAACCAGAACGGCAATTAGTATTACAATTTGAAGTAGTGCAGCCACTACAACTACAAGGATAAGAAGTATGGGTACCATAATTAGTATAGAACGTACTACTACAAAGAAGAAGTGCACAAAAATCAGTATAAGTATAAAAAGTTTGATTATAATAGCAAAGATTACCACCAACACAACTAGTATTACAACCGTCCGACGAAGAACAGCAACCGCTATTACTATTACAATATGGACAAGTATCCGTAGAATTACAACTACAACTAGCAGCAAGAGTAGAGTTAACGCTAGTAGCAGAACCAAAACCACCACCAGTATTAGCACCATAACCATCATCACAAGTACAAGAACCAGAACCAGAACCACAACTACAAGAGCCACAACTACAATCACCACACTTACAATTGCAAGTACAAGAAGAAGAACCACAATAATGGCAATCACAAGGTGATGGAGTTGTTGTTGTTGTTGTTGCTGTTGTTGTGGTTGCTGTTGTTGATGTTGTTGTGGTTGCTGTTGTTGATGTTGTTGTGGTTGCTGTTGTTGATGTTGTTGTGGTTGCTGTTGTTGATGTTGTTGTGGTTGCTGTTGTTGAAGTAGTGCTAGTGCTAGTAGTTGTGGTTGTAGTAGTAGTTGTTGTCGATGTTGACGTTGTTGAAGTAGTGCTAGTGCTAGTAGTTGTGGTTGTAGTAGTAGTTGTTGTTGATGTGGTCGATGTCGACGTTGTTGAAGTAGTAGTCGTACTAGTAGTAGTAGTGGTTGTTGTCGTGGTAGTAGTTGTTGTTGTTGTCGTGGTAGTTGTTGTTGTTGTTGTCGTGGTAGTAGTTGTTGTTGTTGTCGTTGAAGTCGTAGAAGTACTTGTTGTCGTGGTTGTTGTTGTTGCGCTTGTTGTTGTTGTAGTTGTTGCAGTTGTTGTGGTTGTTGTTGCTTTATTCATCGTAAGCAAAAACGTCAGCAATGCAGCAAGGCCAATGCAAAGGAGCATAAAACAACACAGACAGCAAAATAAATATAAGCCTAGTCGTCGACGACTAAAGAGATCAAAATAGTTATACACGATACTCTCAAATTATAACAAAAATATCATCTAGAAAATTTACTCTTTTCTTTTTCTGTTATTAGAGTTTTCCTGCTGTCCTTCATTGGCATGTCTGGAATTGAACCATGCACCAGCTGATTTCTTCCTGTATGGCATCAGATCGACGGATCTCGTTCTACTTTTTTCGAGCATTAGGTCAAATGTATTTGTAGAAGGCTAAAAGGAATGATGTACCATGGATTTTAAAGCAATACTAAGATGCTGATCACTTTTATAAAGGCAGTACCAAAAATAAAGTAGTTTTCAATGAAATTTTCAATAAACAACTGCAAAAGTTTTGCTCAGAGGAAGTATTATAATATATTACAAGGCGCATTCAACAGATTTATGAAGGAGGTTGATGAGAGTGGATCTCTGAATTCTCAGTCAGACTTCCTTCGATGCACATGTGCGAAGACGCTTTGCACCCGCGCCCAAGACGAATGTAATCCTTTTTGCGAGTATATCTGGGGTGTATGACTCGAACAAATAGGCTGAAACTTCATATCTATATGCATAGTAAATGATTGTGTGGCACAAAAAACAAGTGATATCTGATCTGTTGAACAAAAGTGTCATTTTTCTGTTTTTTCTTCAGTCAATGAATATAAATTTGCATTAGTTTATAGTTAGAATACATATGAAAAAAGTTTTTTCTCATGGTTCGCATTTGTAAATGAATGTAAAATACTATAATTCATGTTTAAAGAAAATGGTTGCCTGAATTATATTCAGTTTTGAGTAGAAATATGTTTTTTTTGTCATAGAATACATTATTTATTTAATGATACATTAACCAGATAAATAATTATCATCTGATAGTATATTATTGAGCAATGCATTAATTTAAGTAAGGAGCTATTAATCATTCTAATAATATTTTAGCTACTTAGTGTGACTATTCTTTCTAGGTGACAACATCTTCAGACATAACAACGGAAAGAGAAATGACATTGGATGGAAACGAAAAATCAAGTCTTTTTTTTAGAATATTAAATCAAAATAAAGAATTTCTTTCATTCCTTTTAAACATTTCATTGCAAGAAGCGAAAAAGCTATCGACTTTGTTTGAAACCTTTGAAAAAAATAAAGGATAGTTTTTTTAACAATTGTAAAGAAACTTATTTATTGCACTTTTCACATGTATTTTATTTTGTAATAATTGTGTCTGAATATCTACTTAGCTACCATGAAAAGTTACACTAATTAGTTGAAATGCTATTATAAATTATAATAATTTATATTTATTTTTAAATAGATTTTTTTTCTGCCTTTATATTTAAAAATACATGACAAAAATAATAAGACATTGTTTACCACAAATGCAGATGATGAAAGAAAATCAGTGAGTTTTATTTGTATTATGAATTACTAATGCCCTAACGTTGAAGATTTGCTGACATGCTCAAATATCCATACTTCAGTTTTGATTTCCATCAATCAGGAGCTTAACTCTAATTCCATCATTATCTGCATTGATGAGCAAATGATTCGTGACCTTTCGAGAAACACTTCACTTCATTATATCATGACGCTGATATAAAACTAGGTAGCAGTTATGAGCACTATTTTCGTATAATGAGATATTCAAAATTTTACAGTTCTGTTGGATTATTTATGAGCAATAAGGCTAAGATGTAAGAAGCTACAAAGATCTCTCATTGGCATTGACTGTGGCGGCGTATTAACAATTGAAGTAGAGAACTCAACGATGTGAAATTTCTTTTAAAAATATTTTACCCTATGATTGCCGCCAAGGGAAGGTCTTTTATGCATCTCAATGATTGATGAAGTAGATGTTGCCGATGGATAATAGTTCTAGAAGAAAAATTAATCAACATATTGGATTTATTTTATATCTGTCAAAGAATTATATGAAAGATCTCACATATGTATGTAGCAGCGGTTCACGAAATTTGCGTGGAGTTTCCATGTCACGAAAATCTTTGAATGACGAAGTTCGAGTGAAGAGCTTCGTTGGTGTAAGATCTTCGGAACGACGAACAACTTTCATGACATCAACTCCTTTCGACTGCCGACTCTGAACGGACAATGTTCTTTGTAATCGTTCGTCAGAGTGAGGAGGAAGTTTCTTAACATGGATGTTTTTCAAAGATGCACTTGGTGTGAGCTGTTTCGTTTCCGGTCGAACGGCGGAATGACGAGTAAGTTTTACGACACGGACTGTTTCTAGTGATGCCCTTCGAGTAGATTGCTTCGTTTCCGGCCGAACGGCGGAATGACGAGTAAGTTTTACGACACGGACTGTTTCTAGTGATGCCCTTCGAGTAGATTGTTTCGTTTCCGGCCGAACGGCGGAATGACAAGTAAGTTTTACGACACGAACTGTTTCTAGTGATGCCCTTCGAGTAGTTTGTTTCGTCTCCGATCGATCGTCGGAACGACGAGTAAGTTTTACGACACGGACTGTTTCTAGTGATGCCCTTCGAGTAGATTGTTTCGTTTCCGATCGATCGTCGGAACGGCGACTTTTGCTAATACCAGAGACTTCTTTTGTTGGTAAACTTCGAACAGGCAGCATCGTTTGATCAATTCGTCTGCAGTTTGTTCGTGCTCGAAACTTCAATGATTCTTAGTCAAAGGTGCGTGTTGTGAATAGACGATGTTATTGCTTGTGAAAAAATGATTGTGTAGCTATACTACGTAGATGCTTTATATATATATATATGTATTGTACTTTATCACAAAAATCAACAAGAATTCATAGTATTCTCTATTCAATTTATTCATAGCTTTAGACGACAGCAGCATTCTAGAAAGGCTTCCCATTCATTTCAATCATGCAAAAAGTCAGTTTCATCCTTAATGAGAAAAATAAAAATAAAAATAAACAGTTTGAGGGAATGCGTATGAGATGAGAACACTGTTTATTTATGTCAGGCGTGTTTCATTTTCACTTGATTTTTTCATCTGCTGATTGAAAAATTTGTTTTTTCTTCTTCTTGAGAATCTTTGGTAATCACAAATGGCTCTATTTGCACAGAGTGATGAGGGTGACGGTGCATGAAAACCAATGGAAATGTTACAAGTATCTCATATGATGCATTTTGATTCGTTGCTTGAATAATTCTCAGATATGTTTTGGATCATTCAAGTATAGGAAATTTTTGAAGTAATGTTCACTTTAATCCCAGTGACTTCAGTTTGTATTCAGATTGAGTAGCAGGTTTTATTTTCTAGAAATACTGCTGGAACCATTGCATATATGAAAGCTGAAAAGAAATGTGAAGTTTCTCAAGTAAGCAAAACATGAAGGAAGACTGCCGACATGACTAGTCAGAAATGTCCGCAGAACCCGTCTAGTCTATTCTGAAACGTCTTGTATATCCGTCTGGTCTAGTCAGCTTAATGAGGAATGTTTTACAAACACGTCTGTACTAGTCTGAAATGTCCTTGAGCCCAGTCATGTCTAATCCGGGTTGCCTGTTGGCCCAGTCCAGACTAGTCAGAAGATTAAAAAAAGAGGTTACACGGTGGATTTGAACATCCAACCCGACAGTGTTCAAGATATGACGGACATCCTGACGGCAGGCTGTGACACTGAGATAGACTGGCATAAGTATATATAGTCTAAAGTCATAGATTGGCTCCCATCCATGCATCGAAAATCAGCAACAAACCGCCGTAAATGGTATTGACTAGTCTGGAATGTCTTCAACAGCTATTAGGACTAGTCTGAAGCATCTTTTGGACACCTCATGACTAATCCGTTTTCAAGAAGTGTTCATTTTACTCAATGCTTATCGATTTTTTTCTATCTAGAAGGACAATTAGAGAGTCTGCTGTAATCAATAGTGCATTCGAAAAGATTTAATATATTGTGTACATCCCTGTCTTGATATATTTTATTTTATTTTGCATTAGCATATGCTAAAAGTTTAAGAGTGTATCAAAACATAAAATAGTAGGGGTTAGCACTAACAACAAAATTCATCTCGTATCTAGGAGTGCTATTTTATATTTTTTTTCAAAATGTGAGATGTACTAAATTTTAAAAAACTGAGAAGCACATAAATCTTTTCATATAATACTATTATTTTAGTTTATTTTAAATATCAATTCTAATAAGTTAAAATAAACCAAACATAATTTAATTATTAGATGAATATACAGTGATTTAAATTTTAAAACTAAACTAAAAAATAATATGCGAAAAATTAGTTTCTATTCCATACAAATTTTTATTTTTATTTTTATGCTCAAATTAATGTTTTTAAAACCCGGCTAATTAATCGCATTTGCTTATAAATCAAAGTATATTTGTCGGAAAAATTATAAAATCTTCTTAATTTGTTTTTATTTAATGTTATCTAAAGTAATCGTGTTTCGGTAAAAGATAATTTTTATTGATACATAAAATTTAAAAATTTGGAGTAAAAATTGTATTAAATAGCATCTTAGAATGATCATGTGTGCAGAATATGACTTCTTGATCACATGGCTCAATGGTTCTGGCGATGGGTAAGTGTCACATTGTATACATGTTCGAATCTAATCTTCATCCTTACATATTTCCATTCAAACTAGTCCAGACTCGTCCACTAAATAAGGCTATAGCTGGTTGTATACTCGCCCAGGCGCCCTTAATTTTTATTCTTAAGCCATCTTCGGACGGGCGACAGGGACACTCGTCACGACGGATAAAAACTCGGACTAGTCGTGGACGAGTAGTTTTTGAGACAAAGACTAGACGGGATGGGTCGACTTGACTAGAAAAAAGACTAGTAATTTAACCAGTCTTTTGCTCACTTGGATTGATGACTAAAATTTATAATCATCAAAATGATTGAATATAGAGTATTCGTTCCCTTTGGAAGTTCCCAAAATTTTAATTTTTTGATCTGAGTTGTTTATAGTAACTTATAAACTCTAGTATAATGTTAGTAGACAAGGTATTCAAAATGACAGCAAAGATTTTGAAAAGGTATACCTAAGTAGACTCGCAGTAAGGAATTAGATGGCAGAAAAAAAAACAATCACGTAGAACTACTTTTGTGTCAAGCATTAAAAAGTTATATTTAAAGCATTCTCATTCAATTCAAAGTAATCATTTTTATTTCTTTCATAAAAGCCCTCTTTTAGTATTTTTCATGATAGTTTTCATCATTATTTTTATTATTTTGGCTGTTGTAATGCCATTTCACCATTGCAATATCTGTTCAACTTTCTAGTAAATAGTAAATTTTACCATTTTACACTTATTAGCAACAGATGGCTGCCGATCAGACTCATACTTGTTACTAATGAAAACTAAAGATAAGGTATACCACTTATTATTACCGTCCAGGGGCTTTCAATGAAGACAGTGTTTTTTACTGCTCATAAGTCGAAGTTAACGTAGAAATTTAGTTGCCAGGCGTATTATTCAGTGCTAAGATTTGATAAGAACGAAACACAACATTTTCTCTGATTTAATGCTATGTTATTATCACGAAGTGATCTATAGGTCAATACTAGACTTGGAATACGCATCATATTGAATATCTCTAACAATCCGACTGTTGTCAAGTGAGACTATATAGACTTGTTCGACGATCATTACAATATCATTTCGTCACACAGTGAATTCTTTCACTGCACATACAAGAAATTTTATTGTTTCCTTTCGTCTAGCATCCGGAAAAAGAAAATAAAGATTATTTTTTCCTCGCTCGTCCTA